AAACTTGGGTATTTTGACTCCAAATTGTGTGTTCTGGGCAACCATTAACTCCACACCATGTTTCTGCTTTGGGGAGGGGATGGAGTCTGGTGGAATCTCATTTGGATGGGATCTGTTTGTATTTAACAGAAATCCCGTGACTATTACATTTAGAGCATGTGTGCTGGGCCTGGTGCTCATTGCTTTATGAGCATCCACTCTATGTGTAGGTACTACTATCCCCATTTTGCAGTGGAGGAGACAGAATTCTAAGTGGCAGATGAGGCTCCCACCTGTCTGATTCCCCAGGCTCACGGTCTGACCACCTTCCCAGCCCTGCTTATCTTCATGAGCTGAACCCATTCTAGGGACCTGCTCTGGTCCCCAGCCCTGGGCTCCCCTCGTCTGATGACGGCCTCTTAATTGGGCCTCTCCTCAGTTCCTAGTGGGATCTGTCATTCCCTCCAGCTGCACAGCCCTGGGAGGAAGCTGGGTCTTCTTGAGCTCTGGATCCTGGTCCCACGGTGGACAGGGCTCCAACACGGGGCTTGGCGTGTTCGCCAGTTATTACCGAGGGAGGCTTCTTCAGTTTCTTTTCCTCCTCTGATGGATACACTTTTAAAAAGGTCTCCATTCCCTAAATTTCCACCTGGAAAGAGGGGAATGGCATAGGGTGGGTGGTGGGGACTAAGCAGCTGCCCACTCCATGCAGGGCCAGGATGCCAGGCGGGGAGCCATGAATGAGCAAGAGCCCCGTGTGGAGACAGGGTCCTGGATTCTAGACACGTGGGATTGTAGGCAAGGGTCTTTCTTTCTCCGGGCCTCAGAGAGGCAGTTGAACTAGTTGGTTAATATTTGATTCTTGGAAAGGCCAGATATTTGACCTACCCTGGTAAGACAAGTTAGGAAGAGGGATGGGGCAGAAGAAACAGGTCTTCACAGGGCAGCAGGGGATGGGGGTTTCAGGAAGGGCCGCCAAGGGCCCTAGAGCATGTGCCTTTGTGGCTGCTACAAAGTGGGAGGAAGCACTCTAGACTTTCATCTTCCTGTTCTGGCTCCCACATGTACCATCAAGATAATTTAAATGGACTTTTAAAAGCTTTTATTTATTTTTATAAACTCGATGTTCTTTTTGAAAAAATTGGAAAATACTGATAAGAGAACAATAACTGTAGAACAATCTTCAAGCTTTAAATTTATACCTTTAACAAGCAGTTTTTAAAAGAAAAAAACCTTTAGCTGACAAAACAATTGTACGTATTTACAGGGTGCATTGTGACATTTCAATACATGTACACAACCTGTGATGATCAGATCAGGATAATTGCCAGATCTGTCATCTCCAACATTTATCATTCTTTAGTGTTGGGAACATTCAAAACCCTCCCTCTTAGCTATTTTGAAATAAATAATTAATAATTGCCATCAACCACAGTTACCCCACCATAGCAATCACTTTTGAACACACATTCCCAATTTATTTATTCACAAATTATACACATCATAAAATTCACTAAAGCGCTAATTTCAAAAGGAAAGATCAAACAAAATAAACGTCTCCATTTCTGGCAACCCAGTAGGTAGCTGGGCAGCCGAGCCCCTTTGGAGACAGCTGGCCTAGATTGTTCGCATTTTGTGACATGGACTGAGTCAGAGCTAACTGAGGGCTCCGCAGGCTGTGCGTTCCGGCACTGCACCGCGCGGCTCCTCTGGGGAACTCCACTCACGTTCTGGCTGGATGAATGAAAAGATGAATGGGGGTGGGGGTGGGGAGGATCGCAGGACCAGTGTGAGCAGCCGGGGGCTTGGCACCGAGCCTCTGCAGAAAGCAGAGTCCTGGCTGTGCGGTGGCGAGGCCAGTTACGCACGTCACCAGCCAGGCCGGCCCTTGAGGGCTGGCGAGCTCCTGCTTCTGCAACGCCAAAGCAGCTGCCGGGGTTCACAGAAAGTCCAAAAGGAAAGGGATTGCAGCTGCATGGAAGATGGGCCCCCTCCCCAAATTGGTGTACCCCAAACTTCACAGCAAGCTGGTGGGTTAGAAGGAAGCCTTTATGTTAGATAGTGGGAACAACTGTATCATTAAATAAAAGCGTTTGAAAAATCCAGTTTGCCTAATGAGCTCCCAGCAATTCAAGCTGCTTATAAACGATTGACATGATGGATGACTGTTTTCTGAGAAGGGGCCAAACCTTTCCTAGGATTCCTGATGAGCAGCGAAGCCCGAAATTCAGAACACACAAGATTCAAAGGTCCCTCGTGGGCTCTGGGGGCTGGGAGTGAAGAACCACTGAACTGTGTCATGCAAGCCTGGAGAGCACATCTGGACTTCACTTTCCTACGTGGATGTTCTTGGCATGAAGCAAGCATGTAGGCAAGCTCGCTGCCTGGCTTATAGTAGGCTCCAAGAAACAGTAATTTCTTTGCCCTCCTTCTATGCTTTTGTCCCATCTGCCACCTTCCCCCTTAAAGCTCTTGATCCATCCAAATTCCACCCTTTCCCAACCCAGTTAGAATCCTCAGAATCGGATTCTAACTTCGGAGGAAGCTGGGAGCAGTGGTGCCTGCCTGTAATCCCAATGACTTTGGAGGCTACAACAGGAGGACTCAATTTTGAGGCCAGCCTCTGGAACTTTGTGAGACTCTAAGCAACTTAGGGAGACCCTGTCTCAAAAAATAAATTAAAAAAAAAAAGGGCTGGGGATGTGGTTCAGTGGTAAAGCACCTCTGGGTTCAATCCCTGGTACCAAAGAAAAGAAAAATCCTCAGAGGAAGCATCTCTTCCCTAACCTCCTCTGAACTTGTGCTCTGCAGTTTGGGGCCAATTGCATCCAGCCCCACATTGTCCTCTAATTGTTTGGGTGTGTTTGTGTTGTGTCCCTGTTATTAGTTCATAAGCACCCCTGACTGTAAAAGGGACGTGTGCCAGAGCCAGGACAGCTGCACTCAGCCCTGTCTGGGCCACTGGCTGAACAAATCATCGGACCTCTCGGCGTGTTTCTTCAACTGCGAACTCTGAGATAACGATACCGTCTCCCAGAGCTGGGGCTGGATAATGGGTGTGAAAGCACCTAAATCATTGCACAGTGTCAATTGCTGTTATTATCACCCCTGTTGAATCTACAGAGACCCAGTGCCTCCCTGCCTGGTGGGATGTAGCTGATAAATACCTGATTGATTGAAGATGGAATAGCTTGGTGACAGCTCCCGTCTCAGGCTCCTGGGAGTTTGGGTCTGAGCTTAATCCTGCAATTACTCCCTTCATTGGCAATGCAAAACCTCCTGCATTTTTCTAAATCCCTAAGAACCTTCAGCTGATAAAGCAGGGGCTAGTGCCCCTTGGGGAACAGGGCTGCACCCCAGACTGTACCACAGTGTCCTGGACAGGAGGCATCAGGCCACATAAGGAAAACCAAAGCTGATGCTTTTACTAAGGTGAAGTTTGGATATATGCCCCTGCCGAAGACTCCACCAGCCCAAGGAACTCGAATTCTTTCTGTTATTGGTATCATGGCATGAGAGAAGCTTATAGAATATGTCCCTGCCAGACTTCATAAATGAGGAAAAAGGGTGCGTGCAGCAGCCACCCACAGGCAGGGAGAAGGAGCAGTGTTGTCTTTGGGAGGTTTTGAATAAGAAGCCAGGCAGTTACTTTTTTCTCTCTGTGTTGAAAACTCTGGTTTGGGCTTGCTGGCAAACGCCGTGCAAAGCTCATCTTTTGTTAGTCTGCCGAACAATGTTACTGGTTATAATTGGGGCAATTATGGGCTGCTCGAGGAAGCCGAACGCAGATGTTGGAGCCCAGGATCAGGGTATTCAAGTCCAAAGCAGCTTGCTCTAAATAGTCCCTTCCCCGAATCATCCTGCCTTACTTGAAATTCCCCCAGAACTTGCCTGTTCAGAGTGAGGAGGGGAGGAGGGGACGGTGGCGAAGGGAGGGGAAAGGAGACGCACAAAGAGAGGAGGAGAAAGATGAGGCTGAGAGAGAGCAGCGAGAGTTTCTCTGTTGCGACTTGTGAATGGAGTATTCCACGCGCCCTGGGCAGGAACCGGGCAGGAGGGGAACAATGCCCAGAAGGAAAGGAGACCTGGGAAGGATGCAGGGTCTGGGAGACCAAGGTCAAGCCCGCAGACATGCTCTAGGAAATTCACTCACAGCCACAGCTTTCGGCAGTGTATACAGGTGGAGCAAACCTGCAGATCTGACTCTTCCCGCATCATTAGGGATGATTCTATGCAGGGTGGAAGGGAGCAGGGCTCCCTCCAGACTAAGAACTCGAAACCAAATGGCTTTAAGTTCAGTGATGCCTTTGGAGCAGCCTGAACACAACACCAGGAAAGGAGGAAAGCCACACAGAGAGAGAACCCTCGGCGGGTACCAGGGGCTTTCTGGGGGCTGCCCCCAGAGACAAGCGCCCTCCAAGTGCTGCTCCTCGCCTGACCTCATTCCTGCAGCCACCTCTTCTCAACAGATAGCAACCACCAAGTCGGGGCCACAACTGGGGAAGCAAAACTTTTCCTCATTTGCAAGTTTCAGCTTTCTTCTTCCGCATGCCTCTGTAAGATGAGAAGACCCTCAGCCCTCCCCCTTCCCCACCATCTGAGCGCTGGAAATCAGATGAATGAAGAAATAATCTCACGAGAGGCCAGCAGCAGCCACACTGGACAAAGGACAGGGGCGGAGGAGCCAGCCCGGGCTGCCCTGCTCTTGGGAGACTCCAGCAGTTGGTCACGGTCGGGGCTGGGGGCCGCATGCAGTTGCCTACCTGAGAGCTGTCAGTCGCAGGGCTCCCTCGGATGTGAGCTGGGCTCCTCCGTGTCAGCCACACCAGCATATATATCCTCCCCCACGCACAGCCCTCCCCTTCCCTGCCCACCTCGATGACACATACACACGCTGACCCCCTTCATCAACCAGACAGCACAACCTACCGTCCTTCCTGCTGTCCCCCTCCCCCCCGGCTCTGCAAGCAGACCTGTGACATGCCTGCCCCCCCATCCACCCAGGCTCCAGCCTGCTTCACCTGGGCTCGGTGCAGCCAGGATCCCTCGGCTGCCTTCCCCTTCTTCCAGAGGCACTGCGAGGACTGACGGGAGCTCTGGCAAGTCAGCCAGAGGGAAAGACTCCTGGCGGCAGCGATGATGAGGCAGACCCCAAATCCTGGAGTCTCCTTGAGCAACCTTTTTGCCTGAGGAGTGGAGAGCAGGCAGCAGGCAGAGGGAGGAAGAGCTCAGCCAAGCTCCCACCGGCTCCCAGGAGCCGGGCTGAGCTAAGCCAAGCCCCCTCCCAATGTCAGGGCCCTCCAGGCGGCAAGGGCCAGGCCACTGGCGGAGGTGTCTCCACCTGCCACAGCCGGGTCAGGAGGCATTTCCACAGGTGCGCACAGCGTGGCGCAGTGCAAAACGCAGCCGGGGCTCAGGCAGGAGTGTCTGAAATTCTCCCTCCTCTGTGCCGACCTCAGGCCCTCCTCTGTGAAATGGGTGTGGTCCTCCTGGACAGCGGTGAGGGAGACAATGAGGCCCTTGGCGAATCTAGCGCTGCTCTCTCCCCCTTCTCTCCACAGTAACTGGTACCCCGAGTCTAGACGCCTCCCAGAGCAGGTCACAAGGGGCTTGTCCAGCGGCCTCTGCACCTACGGGTGTAGGGGCCCGGAAACTGTTGAAGGTGTCCCGCTCCGGGCCGTGGAGCCTCCTTTTCTGCTGCAGGGCAGGCGGAGAAGCAGACTGCAGGAGGCAATGCCCAGGCAGCCCGGGCTGCAGTGCTCACATCCTGTAGCATCCCTGGAGACTCCGACTTGGGTGACTCGCACTGTGACCTTGGCCTTGGTTTTCCCAAGAGGATCTGATCTATCTCAGAACCCCAGGGCCTGAGCCTGTGTTGTCTAAGGAGCACAGCGTTCACTCAAGGGGCAAGTCCTGCTCTTTTGTGGACCTGGGACGGGGTAGGGGAGGATGAAGGGTAGAATTTGCCCTGACCGCTAATGGGTACAGAGTTTCTTTTTAGTGTGATGGAAACACTCTGGAATTAGATTGTGCTGGCGTTTGTACAATAATACTAAAACCCTCCCACTTTAAATGGTGAATTTGAAGTTATGGGAATTATATCTCAATAAAAAGAAAGCAGAAGGCATGAAAGCATCGCCCCCGTTAGGAACCACAGTTCTGAGAAACAATTTCCCCTCCCGTCTGTGTTCACAGCGAAAGGGCCCAGGAGATCAGGGCACTCCCGACTCCTCCTGTGACTGTCGTTGCCTAGATGCTACCCTCCTCCCCGGCACATCAAGGCCACCACTCCGAGCCTTTTGGGAAATCAGCATGTTCTCTGCATGACGTGGGTTGTTCCGCATCCCCATGTATTTTGGGGTTTGAGGTCTGGAGTCTGATTTCACACATTCCTCTGCAGATTGTGCTGGTTACCTAGTGAATACCCATTTCCTGGTTCTTCTTTACTAACCACGACGCTTGATTTTATTCTAGGGGGCCACGTGCTCAGCTAAAAGACTGGCTACATTTCCTGGTCATCTGAACAGCTAAAAGGAGCCAATGGGAATCAAGATACTAGTCCTTGGATGGATCTTCTAGGAAGGTTCTTTTAAAGGAAGCTAACTCAGCTAGAAGAGGCCTTCTCTTTTCCCTCCTTCCTTCCTTCCTTCCTGGAATACAAATATGTTGACTGGAGCCCTAGCAGCTATATTGGATCATGAGACAACTTTGAGGATGAGAGCTAAAGATGATAGAGCATAAAGATAGAAGGATTCTGGGTCCCCCATGACGATGAAACTACCACATTAACCCTAGATTTCAATCATCTCTCTCTCTCTCTCTCTCTCTCTCTTTTGAGAAAAAAATGCAAGCATTTATTTCTGATATCAGTATAGCCTCAGTTACGAATTACTGCATATCAAACTGCACCAAAGCCAGAGGCTTAAACAACAACCCCCCCCCCCCCCCCCGCACCGTCTGGCTCATTCTTCAGGCGGGGAATCCAGGCAGGGGGCAGCAGGGCAGTTCTGCTCTCACGGGGCTCTCTCAGGCTTCTGCAGTGGGGCTGTGTTGGTTCTCCTCCCCGGCTCCCAGCATGCTGCCTGGGCATGGTCTCACGGCAAGGCCAAGGTGCAGCACAAGCAAACAGTCATTAAGGGAGAGAGCACAGCGCAGAGCCTCCCCAGGCCTCGGTGCAGGGGCTCCTTGGCTTTGACTGCGTTTACTGGCTGAAGGCCATCACCAGGCTGTCCAGAGCCAGGTCACAGGGCAAAAGGGGACAGCTATACAGATCCCATTCATCGAGGTCATCAGAAACGTCGACCCACGCTGGGCACGCCAGTGCCCACTGGTATCCCCAGTGACTTGGGAGGCTGAGGCAGGAGGACAGTAAGTTCAAGGCCAGCCTGGGCAACTTAGTGAGAGCTTGTCTCAAAAGATAAAAAGGCTGGGGGTGTGGCTCCGTAGTAGAGTGCTCCTGGGCTCACTCCCCAATGTCATGAAAATAACAAGAACAAAACCAAAAACACCGCCCCCCCCCCCCCCCCCCCCCCCCGGCACAAAACCTAAAAACAAACACTTAAACCTTCCATGTTTTTGTTTAAGCTACTCATTTGGATTTTCTGTCCCGTCAAGGGAGCATCATCCTACACGATGTCCTTGACATACCTGTCATCCCTGGGATGTTTGGTAGCAACTGATTTTCTACCCTTGTAGTTGAGGGAAAGAAAAAGCAAGAGTGAGAAGCCATTTCTTTCCTCGCTCACTAAATGGAGGAATGGAACTTGGTGGTCTGGAAGTGCTGAGGCGGATCTCGTGCCAGGCGGTGTCCTGTGACAGAGAGGGGAGAGGCGCTGAGCCCTGGGTGAGGATGCCGGAACCTGCCCCACAGGAAAGCATGTGCTTCTAGAATACTAGAAAGGGCCAGAACCTTGGGATCCTGGAAAGACCTTGAGCGCCTGGAGACCGGGAGCTTCCCTTTGGCTTGTTTACTGGTCAGGGAGGGGCCAGCTGCTCTCTGCTCTTTGACAAGATGCACTTGTTAAAATAGTTGGCGGGAAGGTCATACTATCGGATTTATTCTGAGGGGGCAGAGGTTCGCTCTTGCCCACAGCAGCCTGTCTTCCTCTTGCAACAGAAAGGCCCATGCTGGGGGACAGAGTGTGACCCCATCAGTTTCCACAGGTGCACTTGGAGGAGAAGGAGCAGGGTCTTAGCACGGTCCTCAGGCATCTCCAGGGAGGCTATGCCAGGGGAGAAGGCAGCCAGGCCCGGCTCCCACGTGGAACTCCACGCTCTCCACCTACCCAGCGATTTTCCCTCTCGAGGCAAGGAGCATCTCACTCCCAGGTCCAGGAGGCCTTGATTTACTTATTAATTATGGCTCCTACATCCAACCGGTCTCCTTAGTAACCAGAGTAGCAGAGTCCCAGCCGGAAACGCTGCTTCTTATTTCCAAAGAGGACAACACTCTTCACATTTAAAAACATTTTTAAGTTGGAACACAAATGGCAAGAATATACAGGGACACATTTCCCAACTTTGCATCAAAATATGGGTGGGCTTTTGGACGACTGACAGCAAGAGGAATTCAGTGATCAATAAGAGGTAGATTGTTTTTAAAAAATTGATACTTAATAACTATGTATTTATGGGGTATGGCGTGATGTTTTAATACACATATCCAATGGGAAATGACTGGCTCAGGGTGATTAGCTTTCCCATCACTTCAAACAGCCTTCCTTTGTGCTGGGAATATTCTCTTCTAATTTAAAATTCACAGTAATTTTTTTTTTAACTATAGTCACCCTTGTGCTGCAGAACTCTAGAGCTTAACCCTCCCCTCGAACTGTTTTCGTAGCTGTTGACCAGCCCTCTCCGTCCCCAACCCCCACCTCCCTAGCCTCTGTAATTTTTATTCTACTCTCTGCTTCTGTGAGAGAAACTTGTTTAGCTTCCACATATAAGTGAGAACATGCAGGATTTGACTTTCTTTGCTTGGCTTATTTCACTTAACACAATGTCCTCCTGTCCATCCACATTGCTGCAAATGACAGAATTGCACTCTTTAGGGTTGAATAATATTCTATTGTATACACATCAAGCATTTCTATCCATCCATCTGTCCATGGACACTTGCATGCATTCCATATCTTGGCTGCTGTGATAAACACACTTCCTGATTTTAATTCCTTTGATCAATAAGAGGTAGATTGTTTTTAAAAAATATAATGATAACCATTGTAATGGGATTGTGGATCACATGGTCATTCTATTTTTATTTTTTTAAGAAACCTCAATACTGTTTGCCGTAATGTCTGTACTAATTTCCGTGGTGCATCTTTGCCACCACTTGATGCTTTTTCTGTTTTTTTAATGGTGGCTGTTCTTATTGGAATGAGAGGACATAAGAGCAAGGTTTAAGGTGAAGAGTTGGGTGAGTACATTTTTTTTTTTTTTGGTGGTGGTACTGGGGTTTGAACCCAGGGCCTTGTGCATTCAAGGCAAGCACTCTACCAACTGGGCTATATCCCCAACCCATTTCAATGTAAAGAGCCAGTGTTTCTTTTGCACAGGTACGACTTATGACCCCAGTGTCCAGCTGAGAAGGGGTGCTGTGAGAACAGAAGGAGTTCTACGCTGGAGAGGCCGGTCTTGGTGACGAGAGATATGCTAGTGAATGGAGGCCAGCGCAGGTTATACCGCAGTGGCCCAGGTGATCAGAGAACCAGACAATAAGGTGCTCATCGTAGATTAGACTGGAGGTGAAGGAGAAGTTCAAGTGAGGAAAGATGACACGATGTTTATCTTTTTTGAACAAAATGCTAAGATGCTGAGGACAAATTGCAGGTTCTGATGCAGAAAAGTGGCAGGTTGGCATTGATACTGGCAGGTGGAGGGATTAGTCCGCTTGGGCTGTCATAGGGAGGTAGCAGGCTGGGTGGCTTTGACCATTGACATTTATTGTCTCACCATCCTGGAGGGCACATGTCCAAGGTCAAGGTTGGTTTGCTCTGAAGCCTCTCTCCTTGCCTGGTAGATGACCTGTGTCCTCACGCCATCATCTCTCTGTGTGTCTGTGCCTAAGTCTTTTCTTTTTCATAAGAACACAAGTCATATTGGATTAGGGCCCATCTTAATGGTCTCATTTGCTTTTAACTCCTTCTTCAAAAGCCCTGTCTCCAAAGACAGTCACATTGTAAGGTACTAGGGGCAGGGCTTCAGCATAGGGACTTGGGGAAGGGGTCAAGTTCGTCTCTAAAGAGGAAGATGAAACTGGGCCCATCAGATAGTGGGGATACAACCCCAGAGAGGGAACAAGGGGTCACTCTGGGACATTGGCTGAAAAATGGTCACAGTATGTTTCTTGCACCCTCTGGTCTCAAACCCAGGTGTTAGTTTCACAGATGATAAGCTGACCATGTGTCCCTGCCTGGTCATATCACAGTGTGTTCATTTCACGCAGCCCCATGGAGACGTCTAAGCCTTCTATCACTATGAGGAGCTGTATCCTGATAGTAGGTGGTTAGGAAATGCTGTGCACAGAGTAAGAGGCATCCAGCTACTTCAGAAGCCAGATCATGTTCTTGGAAAGTTTTGTAGGATGGTGCGGTTGATCCGAGTGCTGGGGAACTGGCTCTGATATTCTTGCATTCCATAAACTCCCAGAAATACGCATATGCTCCTCCCAGTGCACATACCCGCTTCTGCTAGCCCCTCTGCTGAGTCACAGGTTGCACATGTGAGCTCTTGTGTGTTCATGACTCTGCTCCCGGGAGGTCTCTCTTGGCCTCCTCTGGGACTCCGGTGCTCAATGCCATCTTGATGCTCACAGGGTATTGTCATGTCCCTGCAGGCCGGCCCTGTCCAAGCGTCCAGCACCAGCAATAACTTTCTCACAGCTTGAGCTTATAGTCTCTTAACCTAAGCCATTCTCCTTCTAGCTCTTTCCCTCATCCTTGATGTGTGGATGCTGTCAAATGTAATCAATTCATCCTCATTGTCAGCAGAGCACCTGGTGTGCTGTGCACTCTCCCTTTCTTCGATCTACTCTGCATACAGCAACCTGCCCAATATTTTTAAATGGTCTTTTTATTTTGCTTCAATACCTTGCTGTAAAATTTAGTTTAAAGGCAGAGACTGAACACTGGAAGGAAGCAGGCTCCCGGTAGAGACCACAGGATCTGAGCTCCAAAGGCCAGCGTTTGAATCCTGGCTTACCCCTTACCAGCTACCAGGACTTTGGCCAAATCACTCCTGCTTCCAGGGACTTAGAGTCTTATTTTAAAAAGTGGGCATAAGGCCAGGCATGGTGGTGCACACCTGTAATCCCAAGCTGAGGCAGGAGGATTGCAAGTTCAAGGCCAGTCTCAGCAATTTAATGAGGCCCTAAGCAACTTATCGAGACCCTGTATCAAAATAAAAAAATAAAAAGTACTGAGAATATAGCTCAGTGTAAACTCACTAGGTTCAATGCCCAGTATCTAAATAAATAAATATAAAAAAGTAAAAACGGGCATAGGAATACCAAACAATAGTGTTGTGAGAATTTATATTCAGTTAATGTCAATGAAGGAGCTTTGAAAACTACAAAAATCCCAGACAAATACAAAATACCTCTCAAGTCCTTCTCAAGAACAACCACCTCTTTTAACCAATTAAAAGTTGGACTTTTTTTGCCAGGTGGGGCACTGGGGTTGTGGCTCAGTGGTAGAACGCCTGCCTAGCATATATGAGGCACTGGGTTTGATCCCCGGCACCAAATAAAAATCAGTAAATAAAATAAAGGTAAAAATAAAATGGACTTTTCCTTCTTGAACTCTCAGCACTTTTCTGGAAGACCTCTTGGGACAACTGCTTATTTGCAGATTTGCAGTCTGCACAGCGTACCTCCTGCTGTCTTCTGCTGGCCTCACATCTGTCCTGTCCAGGAAGATTGGAAACCCCTGGAGGAAAGCAACTCAGATTCTCTCTAACTCCCTTGCAACAGAGCCCAGTACCAAGTACATTGGAGTCAATCAGTCTCACATGCATCGATTGGGCATGGGATATTTGCTGACGTGCAAAAGGCCCAGTATATAGATAGGCAGGGGATTCAATAAAATATAATGAAAAAATCCCACAGTCAAAGAGCTCTGGGTGAGGCTTGGAAGGTGAACAGCCAGAAGGAAACAGTAGAAGGCAGGTTCAGTGCGAGTGAAAGACCCTCGGCATTGAGAGGCAGTGCATCTCCTGTGGCTGGGATGGCAGAAAGGCTTGGGGGACAGGGACGATGTCAGAAGGGTCTCAGAGAACAAGCGGATCTGGGTAGGCAGAGATGGGGGAAGGGACGAGACGGTGAACAGGCCAGGTGAGCTGGCATGGCAGAGGCATTGTGGAAGGAGTGAGGGGTGCAGGTTGGGTAAGATGGCAGGGGGCTGGAAGGGTGGCCTCAGTGTTTTCCTCAGGCTGTGGGAAGACGCGTGTGTTTTTGCGCAGGGCAGTGATGCGTGGCTGCATTTTAGGAGTACTTATTGACTGGAGATGGCAGGCGCGTGCCTGTGGGTGTTCATCTGATTGTGGCTGGTTCTGTCTGGCTGACTGCAGCCTCAGAATCCAGCTGCAAACAGATGTACAAACAGTCAAGCCCCACAATGAACGCCTTCTATTTTTTCAGCAAATAGTGTCACATGAAAATCTTAATCTCTTGACATTTCCTGTTTCTAGATCAGGAAATCTCGTCTCCAAACTCTTTGTCGCCACCACTGCGGGAGTCGTGACAGCCAGCTCCAGCAGGAACCTGTGCTGAAGTGGAAAAGGGCCCCTTCCAACCCTGTCTCCCCTGCCTCACATCAAACTGTTGGCTTAACGCGGGTAGAATGCCATTTCACGAAACTGTTGTTGTTCATGTGAGATGACTATCTTCCCAAAGCTATTTTGTGGTTCTGGAAGAGGAAAACACAAAATAGATTTTTTCTTTTCCTTTTTGGGACAGAAAGTAGTTTTGGTTCTTTGCAAAATAAAACAATGAATCGCTAAGTTCTGCTTTTCTGCATCAATTAAAAGACTGCCTAACACTTGTTGTGACCTCCCTCCTCCACGGCCTCTCCCCACTGCAGCCTCTGCGGGCTGTCTGGACACACCGACTTGGACATACAGACAGTGTGCATGCACACAGTTATGTCTACCATCATTAGAGTCAAAAGATCATTTGCTGAGCACCCATGTGAGCTGGTGCCATTGCAATTATTTGCCAAATGCATCTCACTGAAACACAAAAGAACAGCCCTAAAAACCATCTGAGACCACATGGTCCGTTTAGATAATGGAATTGTTTCTCGGAGGGAAAGGTAGGTGATTAACCTCTGGTGCACAACCTAGTGCTGAGCTCTGGGAGAGGAGCTTTTCCAGGGTGGCTGGCACTTGTCAAAACTCTGCCCTGCCTCTTCCTGTCACTTTGCCCACCAAGGCTGTAGCTACCCAGCCCCAACCCCAGGAGGTGAGGCTCCTACCCTAACGACAGAGAAGACTGAATGAGAACTGAGCTCCCTCCTGAGAAAACACATCTGTATTCCAGGCTGCCGCACGGCCTCTGCCGGGGCTACATCCAGGACCTGAATGTTTTATTGAACCATTAATGGCGAATTTTCTGCTTGAGTTCCCTGCTGCTTGGAGACAAAGGCACTAGAGGGCTCTGAGCTAGGGCTCAGGGTTGGGGTAGAAATGCTCTTTTTTTGCATTCCATAGCCCCATGCGTGTCTACACTCCCGCAGACTGCCCTTGTCCATGCTTCCACACACACACTCACGGAGGCCTCCCGGTGCCAGGCACTGTGCCGGGGTTGCACACCCAGCCAAGACTGAGACTGGATCCTGTCTGTGACACGCCGGGACCCTGGAAGCTCAAGAAATGCACTTTGGATGAAGACAAAGCAAATGTGAAAAGATTCCTTATGGTTTAAAATAAATGAATGACAGATTCAGGAGAGGGTAGTAAAAAGGAAGTTCGGATGATTACAACTGCATAAGATCATCACAGGTGTGGACTGGTGGGGGACAAGGGAAAAAAAACATCAATGCAGTGATTTTTTTCCCTTATTTTAAAATATGTATTTCATGCTGGTAATATTTATATAGTGAAACTTTGAAAAATGTTAAGGTTAGATGAGAGAGCTTTCAAGATGTAGTCTTTGCAAGCAATAAAATAGTCTCTCATCCTGGAATATTTGCTGAATGAACAAGTGTTATACCACATAGATGTCCTAATAACTTCCTGAGCTGGAAAGATCCTTTATAGAACAGGAAATGGTATGTTCTCCCAAATGAGAATTTTTTTTTTCCTGAGTATACAAACAATGTCTGTTTGTTTTGGTTGTTGTTTGTTTGTTTGTTTTTAATTTAGTCAGCACAGCCTAGCATGTATAAGGCACTGGGTTCGATCCTTAGCATCACATAAAAATAAACAAATAAAGACATTCTGTCCCTCTACAACTACACAAAAATAAAAAAAAACAGCACAAAAAACATACAAATGTAAGTAAGAGATCATCTGGAGTTAACTCTCAGAGATAACTGCTATTCATATTTGCTTGTATTGACTCCAAACTTTTGTTTTTAAACACGTATATCTTTAAAGCACCCTACCACTACAGTCAAAGAAGCATTATTCACAAGAGCCAGAAGGTAGAAACAACCCACATGATTGACCCAAGATAAATGGACAAGCAGAAAGTGTTCTATCCCTGCAGTAAGTAGGGTTCAGTCCTCAAGAGAAAGTGCTGACATGAGCCCCAATACCAGGCAACCTGGAGAGAAATAAGCTGGTCATGAAAGGACTTATGCAGGGCACCCAGAGTAGCCAAGTCCCTTGTGACAGAAGGTGGACCGGGGACTGGGTAGCAGGGTTGGAGAGTCAGTGCTTCATGGGTGCAGAGCTTCAGCTTAGGAAGATGGAGACATTGTGGAGATGGATGGTGGTGATGGTCACACCATTTTGAGGACGGACTTAATGCCACAAGCTGCACACTTAACACGGCAGACATGGTAAATGGCCATGTTAAGTCTACAATGTCACAGTGAAGAGAGCACAATTGTCAAAAGACTCCAGACTCTACTGTTAACTAGTCTTCCAGCTCTTAGTGACACCGGTTGGCCGTGGGTTCTTTTGCTCAATTCAAGAAAGAAGTCATGAAGGGGCAAACATACAATACCACCCAGTGAGGCTTTATTAGGGCTTATGCTTGTGTGTAAGGGAGGTAGTACACAGGGTCTGGTCCCTGGACTTCTCTATAAGGTCTCAAGGAGTAAAGCTTACACAGACAAAAAGGTGGGGCCATGCAGGTGCTCTGTCAGCTGTCACACACCATCCCAGGATTTCTGCACACATCTCATCAGTTCTTTGCTCTTGGCACTGGGTTTTGCACTTGGCACAGTGGTCTGCTAATGCATGTTGGGTCTGTCTGCACTCAGCTTGCAGAACATGGTGGAGGCGCTCAGTATTGCACCTCCAGTCAGGGTCTGGGGATGCTAGCAATCCCGGGAAGGTTTATATTGGTCAAAGTTGGGCATTCTGTACATGTAGGAGTTGCCTAAAAGCTCAGGGGAGGAGTCAGAGCTTTTGAGTGTGGTCACTGGTGGAAACATCTTTTGAAGACAGCTTATATCATGGAGGAGAACCTTGATCAGAGAATGAGGGTCCTTTCTATTTTGTCTCATTCCCCCATTGAGAGATTTTACCCTCTTTTATCATAAAATGGTGCTGAATGAAGAACTTTATTTTTCTGTAGTTGCTTCCTGCTGATCAGGGACATTGATCATCATTCCCTAGAGGCATAAAAATCTCTCACTAACTGCTCTAATGATCTATGTGGGCCTGATTCTTCCCCCAAAGATTTTGATTTGAAAACTGGCATAACTGTCACTTTGACAAGGAATCACTATAAACTGGAAGAAGCAAACTTTACTAAAAGGTTAAAAATATAAGGCCCAAAGATTAACAATCGTATAATAATTACTAAAGGACCCAAGAAAGACAGGAACCAAGTTACTGAGGGTGGGGTGGATCTGACCATATCCCAAATGGAAGTAGCCACAGGGTTGCCTTGTCCAAAAGTGTGTGTAAGGGAGGGAGTACACAGGGTCATGTCAAGCCTTGATGTTAACCTCTCTGTCTCTGGTGGTGTTAAACCAAAGTGTGGCAGGAGGTATTGTTAGCCACGCAGACTCCTCCTGTCCTGCTAGAAGGGCCACACCGACAAGAGAGTCTAAGAACTCAAAGAAATCACTAGTGGCTTCTCCAGTCTTTTGGGGCAGAGAGCTGAGATTCCCTAGAATGGCCTCATGGCACATGAAGCCACAGCACAGGGCCAGCAAACCAGCAACCAATCCTGCTCATCCTACTCTTACTAGAGGTCCCCAATGGCCCTCTTAGATCTTGCCATGGGGGAAGTGTCTTGTGGCTGTCATAAAAATAGTCACATCTATTTCTCTGGGCCCTGGCATACTGACAGGGCCTCGTCCCTGGAGAATTCTTTGTGCTGTGGGTAGCTAATGCTTGTGTACAGGGGAGTGGAGATGGTGAAATTGGGGTTCTCCTCCCAGGGTAGCAAATTTTATTGGTGGCCACAATGGAACAGGTATCTTGGGGGTACACAAGACTGATGAGGAGTCCAGGAATTGAACCTTTTAAGTAGAGAGTTTCCCCAACTTGAAGAGTTGCCACAGAGAGGAGGTAGAGGTCCCCCCTTAGTAGTGCGCCTCTAGATCCTGTGGCCACCCAAAGGCTCCCTGGGGCAGGAAGACGAGGCTCCGTTTACCAGTCTCCTCCCCCGGCCTTCAGCTTTCACCCTGCCCCACCTCTGCCCTCTGCCCTCTGCCCTCTGCCCTCTGCCTCTCAGCTGCCCTTGCCGTCTTCCTCCAACAGGGCTCAAGTTTCTGTTGTTCTACATTCTTTTCAGCTGTTTCCTCTAGTTACTTTCTTATCATCTCAAAATTTCTAGAATGAATTGCCTAAAACCGCTACATGCTTGTCTTCAGGACCCACTCATTTCCTAATCGGGATTTATTATAATTTCTCCTAAAACCCCCCAAATGGAGTCGGGAGTCTCTGCTGCTCTTGGCATTTTCCATACCGAGGGCCTGTCTCCTCCTTCAGGTTCGGACTCATCCATTTCTCAGCGTCTATGGGCGTCAAATCCTCCTTCTGCCCCTAAGTCGAGGTAGTTCCTCAAGGTTCTCCCCTAGCTTGCTTTTAATTCCCTTCCGTTCCTTAGGGATCTGCACTTCGGACCTCCTGTCACCTCCTGAGGACGACAGGTGGTCACTAACCTCTCGTGAACCCTAGACCTTCTTCACAACAGTCTGCTGGCAATTCTACCTGCACTTCAGTGTTTTTCTCAATGGAACCCATGGCTTTTTCTACTCCACATGCCACAAACCTTTGCAGTATTTTTCATTTTTCCCTCCACCTCAATCCCACATGTAAATAGCCACACAGTCCTACAGACTTCCCAGCTATAATCCCTCTCGCTTCGTCCCGTTTCTACTAACTGCAAGCTGGGTCAAGACATTGATGTGTCTGGTTTCTTCTAAGTTGACTCTCTTTTCTTTTTTTTCTTTGGGTTCTGGGGATTGAACTCAGGAGCACTCGTCCCCTGAGCCACATCCCCAGCCCTATTTTGTATTTTATTTAGAGACAAAGTCTCACTGAGTTGTTTAGCGCCTTGCTTGTGCTGAGGCTGGCTTTGAACTCGTAATCCTCCTGCCTCAGCCTCCCAAACTGCTGGGATCATGGGTGTGCGCCACTGCACACAGCTACATTGGCCTTCTTAGTTAATCTCTATTATTCTGACCCCCGGCCATTTCTCTGCACATGCTATACTCTAACTCAGAGGCTCTTGCCTGGTGGCCTTTAGAATCATCTGGGTTTTCTGAAACAAAAGCCGGGGCCACTCCAAAAGGTTCTGGTTTAGCTGGCCTCAGGGAGTGAGGTTCATTGTTTTGGCAACATCTTTTACTCTCAAATGATATTAATGTAATGTA